ACCTCTTGAGACAAAGTCCCAAAAAGGGATGTTCCTTTTATTGACGATGAACTTTACAATTGGAACGGAAAACAACGTGCCTCTAAGGGGCGCAAGCACACGAGTTACAGAAAAGGAAGTGTTTAAGTCTAAAAGCTAAAGGAATGAAAATTACATATTCTCTGTTCGAGAGTTTTGGATTCGGTCCTTTCTTCTAAGTTCTTTCTCCCTTTTATACTTCATAGGCGATCCCTTTGTGATTAACTGCTCTAAAAAACTGCTTGATTGCCCTATAACTACCCACTTTCTTTGTAGTGGCCATTTTGTCATGAAACTGTCCTTTTAACTGATGCCATTATCTTGCATCGTTCAACCGCTTTCGATTGAACCCCTTGAGTCGTGGAACGTGGTAAGGTTACTTTAGCAACTGCCTCAATAACTGCATTTCTTGATAATCATAATGCGTTATATTTGTTGATACCTTGGGCGACTTGAAGATTTGGGCGAGACTTCGGGCGACTGTATGCCACTCTATTCGTTCAGACTCTGAGCGATTTGCAAACTTGGGCGATGGCGTTACCGCACTATTGGGCCCCTTATTTGGGCCTTCACCTTGATTCGTTCAATTGGATTTCGTTTTTTGGGCTATCTGATTTGGGGATCCTCCAATTGGACTTTACTCTCTGGGCTGTTCGATTTGGGCTGAATTTTTATGTGTCAACAACTATTATTTTATTTTATTTTTTCGTTAGATAGTGATAGTTACAAGCTGCCATTTAGCTCAAGTATAGCTTATTTTCTCAGAAAAACATGAAATGACTGTAATTTGTTGTCCAAACAATTTGTTTTAACTTTAGAGCCTATGTAGTACGTGGCGTTGGACGCTACAATAACGGATAAAATGAGATTTCAATATCTTTTCTTCTTCAATACTGTTTGGTTCTGTTCAATGAAAAACATGCTGAGACTCTTTAAGTATATATCCTCGTAGGCTGCAAGGCTTTTGGGTCCTCCGGCAAGATTTGAAGCTTCGAAATTGAAAGTTGTATTCATGGGAGAAGAATCTGAGAGGAACACCAGAACTATGCCCAGAACATACACCCTCTCCCATTGTGACTTTACAGCCAATCTAACGCTAACCATCTCAAATATCATCAACCGAGATCAGGTAATAGAAATCATTGTTCTTCTACATTTTGAAAGTTTTTCTCATTTTCATCCTGGGAATATCTTTATTCTTTGACAGTTGAAAGGATGGTATAATAAAGATGATGTGCTTGCCGAGTGGACTAGAGTAAACGGGAGCTTGTTCCTCGATGTCCATTGTTACGTGAGCGGACCAAATCGCTTTCTAGACCTGGCTGCAGAATTCAGATACTACATATTTTCAAAGGAATTGCCTTTGGTATGTTCATCTTGTATCTGCATTCAGTCGAGAAATGTTGAATTCTCGTGTAATCTTGCTCTAATACGTTCTTAACAAACTAACTTTTAACATCATTTGAAACTTAAGGTACTTAAGGCTGTGCTGTATGGAGATTCAGATCTTTTCAAAGAGCATCAAGAACTAACGGACGCCCTAGTTCGCGTATTTTTCCATTCGAGCTCAAAGAAATACAATCGCGTTGAATGCTGGGGGCCACTCAAGGATGCTGCTCGAGTAGTTCATCTCATTAATCATCTCCCTTTTCATTTTTCTTCATAAATATACTAGACAATGACTTCGCAATTTATTTTCCAGGGAAGAGGAGATAAGATTAATGGGTTTTCCTCTGCAAGCAAGGAAAGTTCTGGGCCTCCAATAACTTGGGGAATTCCAAAAGCTATCTTCCAAGCATTTGCTGCCTTCCTTCTTTAACTTTATGCAATACAAGCAGGCAACATAAGCAGTACTGGGATTTCAAGAAGATACATTTGAATCCAAATTGTCAATTGTTCGGTACAGACAAGAATTGTTTTTAAGGTCATCTAATTCTTTTGCACCTTTTAAGATTTGCTCAGTAATTCTTGACTGTCAATTCTTATAAAATCGAGAAAGCTATTCATTTTCATAAACAATTTTGATGTTCAAAATGATAAACTTAAATGAGCCATTGTGCACCCTTGCTATCTTAAGTTATTGAAAGTTCGATGTGCACTCATGGTATTCAGTACTGGACAAGATTAATATATCAACAGCAGAATTAAATGATCCCCTGCAACAGAAGTACTGCACATCATTAACCAAATTAGATCGCAAGAATTTATGTTGGAACATAAATAATGCAATCGATTAGACATAAGATCAAGAGTAACCTGTAAGTCAGAAAAAGAAAACAAAATATATAAGCAAACAAGTCTCCAGGAAGCTGTTCATCGCAGCTACAACATGGACCAACTAACTATACAGGACGGAGATTCCAAGCCACAAAACATAATGTTGGCAATTGACAATCAAAACCTGACATTTATTTCATAAGTCTTCAAGGTGATCAACAAACAACGAAATAATTGAGAAATCAAGGCTTACTCTGTACCAACACAAGATAATCTGCACTGACTACTCACTTATAATGACCTATTAGGTTTAGGTGACGATGACTTGGCTTTGGCAAAATCAAGCAGATCTTTGAAAATGGCATCTTCTTGTTTTTCTTGTTTGGTAGAGGAGGCTGGAGATTTGATTGAGAGATTCTGGGTTTGTCCAACTAAGCCATCATAAGAACTCGGTCCACTACGCGAATTAGAGGGGCCACCACCATAAACAGGTGATTCCTCGAAAAACTGCTGTCTCTGGTTGTGCCTAGAAGGTGGAGGTGGAAGGACATCTGGGGATGGTACATCCCAAGGAGCTGGAGGCAATTGGTCAGCAGATTTGCTTGTACGAGCAGGCTCTTCATACGCAGGTTTTGGTGCAAACATTGATGCTGTGGGATTAATGAAATCATCAGGAGGGGTGGAAGATAGCGTCGGACTTGGGGGACGGACTAGATTACGGTTGTTTGAATTGTCTGGGACAGCAGCACGTTTAGATCCCGATGCTCCAGAAAATCGTTCCGTCTCATAAACATCACCACTGAGATAATCAACCATTCCTGAGTCTGCACTAGTTGGTTTCCTTGACGGAGGAGGAGGAAGAATGCGGCTGATCTGCAAGGGTTCGCTCCTAGCAACATCTGGCTTCTGCCCATGTCCTTGCAACGTATCCCTTGATGATCTGTAATTACGTGAGAGGTTTTATCAGTCAAAGTTGGAAATAAGTTAACTTTATCCATAGCGAAGAGCTGTTTTTGAAAATAAGCAACTTTTTTCATTTTTAGAATTCAAAAGTTTTAAGTGGTACAAATTTGGAAACAAAAAGTAACCCAAATGTTACCCTTCTTAACTACGGAACATATCCGAGAGATATAACCAATTTAAATTGATAAAGAAAACCCTACTATTGATGGATTTGTGTTAACTCATGTTAGACTAGGTTTTGAAAAATCACTTTGCATGACTAAACTTCTTCCCGTTCCATTACTGTGTACCACATGCACTGGAAGCAAGAGAGCAAAAGGATTTTGAGCATTTCATCTAAGCAAATTTTTGGCTTAATTTTGTATCACATCAGATTAGACACATTTACACAGTAGTCTAGGGAAGAAGTTATTTTGAAAGTAACTCCTACCTTCCTGTCAAAATCAATAACTTACTCTAGAGAAAAGAACATTTTTTTTTATTTTTTATTTTTTTAAATTAAGATTACCTGTGTGCTAATTGAGAAAAATCTTCTTCAGACTCGTCATCCTCATGATTCACATTCATAAGAGGTGCAGCAACCGGAGTTTCTCTAGTCGCCACTGAAACTGCAGGTTTTCCCCCAGCAATTTCATCATGTCGAGAAAGAACTCGTTGCAAAATATCATTCAAAGCTAATCCCTTACAAAGTAGATCCTCGTCCCTGCACAGAAAAGGACGCAGCAGCTAAGCCCTAATCCCAACATAAATGGACAAATCCAATTAATTTACTCTATAAAATAACCAAAAAAAACATTCTTACACAGTATTATTCACAAGAATCATGACACGCTTTTGGTATGAACGACATTGTTCAACCAGGTCAACGATCACCTCATCCTTCACGCCCTATGCTCAAATATCAAAATATTCAAAATCCACCAGTACAAATTTCGCAGAATAGTATTCTTCTCACAAGATATTATGGATCTCCATAAGTAACGAATTTAACTTTAATTCAAAAAATAACTCTTATTCTGAAACAGAAGCATGTTTGGCTAAGCTTAAAAAATTTAATGAATACATAAATTTATTTACAAATAAGAAACTTCAAAACAACCAATATATTTTATAAATCACAATTAGAAACAAAAGCATGTTTGGCTAAGACCAGTAATAGCCTCTTCAGGTGCTAAGTTACATTTGAGCTTAGCCAAACATGCTCGAAGTTACTTATTATGACCTTAAGGCAAGAGTTACTTTCATAATTAACCTTTTTCAGTTAAATGCGTGAAGAAAGTACGTTATTCAAGATAAAAGGAAATGAAATAATACGTTAAAGAAGTTATAACCTTCTGATCATGGGGGTTTAAGGCACCAAGCATTTCAAATAACACATCTGCAAGTCTCTCTGCATTTTGGATTTCTGGCAAGCTGTATTAGGCAAAAGAGTACTATAAATTTCTAGAAGGTGCAATTTTCATCAACCACTACTACTCAAAATCATAAAGTGACCAATGAGAACTGCTATTTGTTGAATATTATCTGGCAAGAAAGTTCAGGATCTCCTTACGATTGAACTTGTGAAAATTAACATTTACAATTAAAAAAAAAAAAAGAGGAAGAAAAGAAAAGGAAAAATGAGATATAGACAGAAGTAGGATATGATGTACCTCAGTCCAGAAACATCAGACTGAAGAGACTGGAGAGATGCCTGAACAGCAGCTTCTTCATATGCAGAAGCAGGGTTAGATACTGGATGCGGTTGTACTGGATGTGTTTGTGGTGGGGTGAACAATGGTACGCTATTTTCCTCTCGTGGTGGAAATTCCACACCAGCAGACTGTCAATATTTTGATACAAGTGACTCAATGAGTTACATAACTCTAGCTTAAACATGAAGCATCAATCCATCTTGAGAAAATAGAGATGATTCTAAGTAATATGGGTTTCATAAATATCAAACTCCTCCCTCTACAGAAGAATACAATAGATATTACAGATAACTATACTGAAACAGAAAGGAAAAAGAAATGTACTCAACCTTCAGTTCATTGTAGGCAGCATGGTACTGGGGAAACCTTCCCCTAGGCCCCCCTAAAGCTTCTTGCCAAGTATCTATCAATATCAAAATCTTCTCCCTTACATTTAAATCCGGCTGCAGAAGTATAATTCAAGGAAGACATTAAAGTCATATTAGGATCTCAACCAGGAGAAAAGATGAAGATATAAGTAGGCAAAAAGACTAAACCACCTTCTTCTTTACAATTTTGACCATCTCATGTAAAATCTCTCGTTCAACAATCTGCTGAAACACATTCTCCCCACAATTTTTGCTAAGAGTCTCTAGCACCTGAATCATAAAATTTTTGAAGAAAAATATTTTTATGAGGCTTAAATTCTCAATATACATCATATATCAGCCAAGATATGTAGCACAATCTTAAATAGGTAGAAATTAGTGCCAATTGTAACAACGCCATGCAAGGAAAACTGTTTTAAGTTTACAATCAAACTAAGGAAGAAAATATATTAGACAATATGAGACAATGTCTAATAGTCTTCAAATAAAAAAGAAGTGTTCTCCCTAAAGAGATAAGGTTTGCAGCCACGTGCCATGTTCATGATTGAAGAGGCACGTATAGATTGTCCATAAAGGCATAACAATACTGGAAAAGGGAATCAAAAGAAGAAAATAAGGATGTCCAATCCCACTAAGATCATGACAATGTCCAATCCCACTAAGATCATGACAATGTCCAATCCCACTAAGATCATGACAATGTCCAATCCCACTAAGATCATGACAATGTCCAATCCCACTAAGATCATGACAATGTCCAATCCCACTAAGATCATGACAATGTCCAATCCCACTAAGATCATGACATATATAGAAATAGTAAGCTTGAACTAATAATACAAAGTTACTGTAAACTAATTCTTGTAGACATTTCTTCTACAACTGGAGATCTGAAGAAATTCTAATAAAAAATAAGAACTCGTATCAATCTACATGAGATTCCACATTAATTTTGTATTTTTTAATCCACAACCACCTCATCAGATTTCTTAGCGTCCAAGAACAGCACTATCTCTTGACTAAATACCACGTGAACCCTTTTAAATTCCCATAAATGATTCCCAAATAGAACAAATTCCAGCAAACTAAAACAGATTAATGGATCTTGGGAAACTGTAAATAGCGAAGTCTTTTATAATGCATCTTATCACCTCAATTTCAGAAGATATGAGTACCATTTCAAAACCTTAAAATAGCCTCACTTTGGAAACAAGTCTCCTAGGTGTAGATCCTAGAAAACACTGATACCAAGGCAAGACAAAATAAAATTAAATGAACATCAAGACCCCAGCCACTTGGTTTGCCAATACAAGGAGGTGGCACCAAGAGTGTCCACACAAGGTTTCAGAATTTTACACCAGCAGTTCTTAAAAATTCCGGCATTAACTTCTCTTTAAGTGCCTACAGGCAGTAACTAATTATTCTTTCCGGTTAAAACCAAGTTTCTATAAGCATTTTTATTCTGTTACCCAAATATACTTCCTGAAATCTACATACTGAAACCTGAAACATTTCCAGCAATTGACTTCCCAACTTCTTCAGGTGAGCACACTGAACATATTTGGAAAAGAATTTAATGGCCACGTATGAAAAAACAAAGAAGGATATACGGATATTCTTACAAATAATGCAAGGAGCTGTATTTGAGGGTTTTTATTCCCCAATTTTTTCTTGAGTATCTTCAGCGTATCTTTCGCTTGCCTGCAGTTCAGCTCAACTTATAAGAATGATAGGAATTTTTGGTAAATAACTTACACAAGTCACATTCTTTAAGTGATAAATATTATATTTTATATGCTGCCCAGTAGTATACTTATAATACAAAATTACTTAATCAAAACAATTCTGTGAAGCCATAATTGGACAGTTCCAAATTATCATTAGATGAAGCACATTTTGATGGAATTTCGTCAGTAGGTTAACCAGGTAAAATTCTATCTAATCTGCAAGATGTCACGAGAGAGAAAACAAGAAACAGAACTTATGTCATTACGTTCAATTTTGAAATTCAGAACCACTAAAAATTTAAACAATGAGATTTAAAGCAAATATTTTGATAAATGTAAATAAAAATTCTTTTTGCAACCAACCACCTCTTTCAAATTACTTTTCTCTGGTGTGGGAACATCAGTGAAATGTTTTAATTCATTCTTAAATTAGAACTGGAGTTGATAAAACGAAATTAATTTTGGTTAAAAATAACAAAATAAATTACAAATAGCATTCAATTCGTCAAGCAAAGGAAACAATACCCAGGATCTGAGTTTATTATGTCGCATAGCTCTAAATTCACTCCCCAGTCTGGACCAATCAGCAGATCACTAGTGGCCCTCTCAGCAACATCTGCAGCATTGGCCATATTTGTCTATTTCCTACTACCACTGCCTAAAAACATGCAGATATCAAACCGTTAAACCAAGTCACCAATTGAATACACGAGTATTGATAAAATAAGGACTAACAGAACCACATGCACACAATTCAAATCACGGCATCCATTGAAGAAGAGAAATAATTTTGCTTATATAGAAACAAAGATGCCAAAACTGAACAGGTGATAGGTCTCACCCGTACTCTTTTTTGGGGATATGATCAAATAACGGCCCTCGCTGCAAACAAAAACAAAAGATAAGTTAAAAAAAAAAAAATGCGTGCAAACCAAATTCAACATCTAAAAGGAAAAGGGCAAAAAGGAAATGACAGCATAATTGCACTCTTTGTGTTTTTTTCGCGTGTATCACCAGAAACATAATCTAGTGACACACTGAAATCAAGAGTCAAAACGGTAAATTAACAGTGCATGAAAAAGTCCACCAAAAATTAATTGAAAAGGCAACCAATACATTATCAGAACTGAAAATCAATGCTAAACAAAAGCTAGCTCTTTTCCTCTCTTGCAACAAAACCAAACCCACCAACAATCAAAATCCCATACTGTAAAGTAAATGATAAAAAATGTAAAGTAAATAATCAAAATCAAGAGCGAAGTTTGACCAAAAGCCTAATTCAAGATTGCAAAACACGAAATAATGGGCCCTCAAAGCCCAAAACCAACCACCACGATAGAATTACATAAAACCACCCAAAAATCTCAAAGATCACGTCTTTTCAACAAAACAAAGATAACCCATTTGAATTCAACAATAAAGATCTAGAAATATCGGAACCAAATCAAGAAAGATAAAATTCAAATGAGAAATGAATCAGGATGTTTCAAAGATTACCTTTCGGAACCACCTGCAGACTAGTCTAGTCTATGGAGAGAGAGAAAGACAGAGAAATTATTATGAATATAATTTTTTATGAGAGAGAGAATGCCAAAACGGAGATGGAAAATTATTTTGCCAGGTTTCTGTCTATTTAACGCGTGTTATCTGTCAAAGCATGTAGCTTTTTTCCAAGCCGTGTTTGGTATAGTGAATTGAGGATGAGTCATAAAGATACGCATGTTTGGTTAAAGTTTTATAGGTGCTTAAGTTTAGCTAAACTTCTTCATAGTCGAGCTGCTGGCTCAATTTTAAAGCCTCATCTAGTGAGATAATGACCCTTATAGAATCGACTCTGATAGATCTATCAAATTTAAAGAGAAATGGACAGACTTTATACTATATTAATGCGTTCTTTTAGAAAAATTAATCAACTCTCACAAGCTAATAGTTCCTCAATTGGTAGCGGTTGAAAATGAGGGCTGGGATGGAGAATTTTTTCACTTTTTAATAAGAATAATTGTGTTTAGCCCTTTTGGTTCAATTGGTTATACGCGGTTCGTGTCATGCTAAGATTTAACTGAGTTTTGAACTAGTCACAATTTGAAGCCTCAATTCACACTCGCATATTCCAAAATATGATAGCTGTTCCAACAGAAAAGCAGAGACCATAAATGAAATTCAACATGAAGAAGGAGGAGGAGGAGGGTTGTCATGGTTATCAGAGTCAGAAGTTGGGAAGGCTTTAGATTTCTTGGACTCAAGGGAGGATACAGAAAATGGCATAACGGATGGTTCATTCACTCTGTTACACACCCGGAGGCCTAACCCCTCTTCCCTCCAACCCATCTCCAATAAGTCCCAGAAGTTGGCAATCACATCCGAGCCTCACCTCTTGAGTTATAATTGATTGGATGAATTTACCATTTTGATTTAAGAATTTGGAAGGAATGTGGAGAAAAAAGATTGAATCTTTTTAAAATATATATTATCTGGCAGAAGAGAAGTTTGAAATTGTGAATTCTGAACTTTCTAATCTGTGACCTCAAAACAACAATGTACTTAAAAAGGAGTAAGCTATAATACTTGAAGGTGGAGTCAACCATTGGCGTACTTTATGGTTCCCATCAGTTTGCTATTAAAATTTCTGTGTTGGATGTTGTCAATGTATAAGCTTAAAGCATCCATGTTTGTGTTATTCAGTTAATTCTGAGGTTACATTTTGAAAATCTTCTTGCCTACAGTCATATATTTGTGGTAATTTTTTTCAAGTGTTTGGTTTGACTTATGCTCTTATTCCTTTGAGCTTCTCAGTATATAATTGATGTTAGTAGGAGTGGGAAGGAAGATTTAATGTTGGCATGTCCAATTCTGTGACTACTGCAATTCGTGAAAGCGTTTGTGATATGACAATCGGTTAGATCAGAATGACTGAGAAAGAAAACCCTGCAACTGTTGAAAAGGTTAATAACATATATTCCTTGGGGTGTTTATGTATATTTCTTTCTCTGGTTTCTAGACATATCATGAATCTTGGTTGTCCAACAAGAATTGCTTCTTTTATTTGGGGATCATTGCTTGCAATCTCTCTTATGTTTTCAACGATTCTGTTCTGCAGCTGCCTCCATAATTCATGTTATCAATTCAATAACTATGATCATTGCCATGTGAAGTTATTTATATACGTTTTCCCTGTGAAATGGTAATGTATCCTTTCCTGGACTTCTGCATGGTTGTACTTGTGAGAGAAACGATATTTGATATTTGTCTTCTTCAACCATGATTCACTCATGGCAGCTGCAGTCTCACCTTGTCTATTTGTGCCCAAGTGTGAGCCCTTCATTTCTCCAGTCATCCATGGCGTCAATTTGTGTCATTCATGCAGGATTTTGTTATATACATGCTACTGTTGTTTTCCGAAAATACTTTCGAGACCAAGGGCTAACTGGTTGTGCTTAACAACCTGCTCTTCCTTACAGGCAATTGATCCGAAAGCCAGGATGATTTTGTTTGAAGTGCTGAATCGTGGTGCATTTATGGAGTTAAGGGTTTTATTGGTTGTTTATGAATAGTTTTTGAAACATTTGAGATTGTTACTGAATTATGCACCCATCGTTACGAAATCACATTTGTTACTTCTACCTGCACTTGTTAGTATCAGACACCGGTTTTTGATGGAAGAGAAGGATGGATTAGAGGTCGTGGTGCCAAGATTCATTATGAGGACAGCAGAGATAAACTAATACAAATTCGCTAACTGCTTGAGGCTTTGGCACAAAAGGTATTCATTTTGGTTGCCCATCAGCAACAGATGGCGGGTGATCTTTATGGCGATATGGTGTCTATGGCTTGCATGTTGATGTGGCTAGGAGATGTCGGTGCGGTGGTGGGGTTACTCGGGGCATGATTGTGTGGAGAGTGTTGTCAACTAGGAACACGAGGATGGAAAAGGTTTTGATGGCCGAGGGGCAGCTATCAATTATGTGATAAGTGGAGCAATTGCTACAGAGGACGGCAATTCAAATGTTGTATATATGTTGAGATGGAGTCTAATATTGATCTTTTCCTTCCTTTAATCCCTATTTCAGGACTAATTAAAATGAAAGATATGACGCATCTGAATGAATTTTGGCAACATCATGTTCATCTGAATTAATCCTGAAATAGGATTAAAGGGAGCAAAGAGATCAATTTCAAATTCCATCTCAACATCCATATAACAACATGAATCGCTATCCTCCATAGCTATGACTTTGCTTATCCCATAATCGACAGCTGCCCATTTGCCATCAGAACCTTCTCCATCATCAAGTGCCACACCAACAACATTTCCACACACAATCAGGCCCGTAACTAACCCCATGTCGCGTCAAGCTTTTTTGGATGCTGCTTCAATATAGGTTAGCATATTCTCTTGAAACTTGAATCCACGAAGAAATCGGATCAAGTTACAACTGTTAGATATCTACAAATTGTAGATCCATCAACAAAAATATGAAAATGATTAAAACAACTGAACAGTTGCATGTGATAACAATATAATGAATCTCAAACTAATATGTTGAATCAATTCAAAAAGAAGAAAAGAGAAGGAGAAGAAGAATAAAGAGAGAACCAAAATCTATTGAGCTGTCAAAATTAGGTTTTCAAAGAAAGTAAAAAATAGTTTTTATACTACTACAAGGAAATCTAAAAATAATAGAAAACTTACAATAATAGGAAATTACATATTATGCTAAAATAAATAACTAAATATAACACACGTTTTCATCCCCCCTCAAACTCAAGATGCTAAAGCAAGAAGCAGCGAGTGTTTGTCACGCAAAAAGCGAAAACGATGAACCGGATGAGACTTAGTGAAGAAGTCAGCAAGCTACAACGATGAAGAAACAAAAGGTAGGGAAATGGTGCCAGTCTGCAGATGATGACGAACCAGATGACAATCAATCTCAATATGCTTTGTGCATTCATGGAACACAGAGTTGTGAGAAATCTGAATGGCACTAGTATTATCACAATACATGGGAGTTGGGGAGGAATGAGAAACACCCATGTCTGCAAGTAACCATCGCAACCACACAATCTCAGTGGTGGTGGATGCCATAGCTCGATACTCTGCTTCTGTAGAAGAGCGAGAAACAACAGTCTGCTTCTTACTTTTCCAAGAGATAAGTGAATCACCCAAAAATACACAAAACCCGTAGTGGACTTGCGATCAATTGGGTCGCTGGCCCAATCAGCATCAGAGTAGGCACGGAGCACTAAGGATGAGGTTGATGGAAACAAAAGACTCTGAAAGCATGTACCACGAAGATAACGCAAAATATGAACAACTGCTGCCCAATGAACTGTAGTAGGAGCTGAAACAAATTGACTAACAATATGAACAGCATAAGCAATATCAGGACGTGTGATGGTAAGATAAACTAGACATCCAACAATAGTGCGATACAAAGTGGGATCAGTCAATGGGACACCATCA